AAACAACCAAATATGCATTGAAGATTACGGGATGAGCAAACTTTAATGGGAATATTCTATTGCATTACTTCAAGACGGGGTATGAATACAAAGAAAAGAATTTGTTGGTTTTGGATGTGGGAGGCAAACCTAAATACACTTAAGAGGCTTTTTAGCTGGAAACGCAGACAGCCGGGGTGTCAGAAAATGTCCGTTAGATGTGTGGGAGTATTTTTGAGTGAAGGCAAACCAAACTTGGCCCACAGTGGTGAAAAGGTGGGGGAGTAGGTCATGCACCAAGGTGATGCATTCTTAAAGCTATAGTCCATCAATTGCAGCCATCCGAAAAGTAACTGGCGTAATTATTGTTGAAAAACAAACTTGGTTGAAAGAAAATAAGGGAACTAAACTCCCTGTAAAATTATTCTTTCTGGGAAGCTGTCATTTTGAAGTAATCAACGAAAGAAGGCATTTCCAACGGTGATTCTTAAGAAGCACCGTAGGAAAATTTAAATTAGTAGTTCGTTTTGTTATTCAGCGCAGCGCGCACAAGTATTGGAACGACGCACACGCGCGCGCGGTTGTTATAATATGTCGGATCAGTGCGCTACGTCGCGTATAAATGCAATTCAACACAATTCAAAACATGATTCAGTAACTTTTGATTTGAAATTGAGATCTTAGAATGCTGTTTTTCTTGGAATGTACAGCTGAAGCTTAGCTGAAACTTCTTCAGGTTAGTTGTTCAGTATCCTTCATTAGATTTTGAACCCTTTTGTTGCTTCAAACGAACAAAATGCACAAATTACAAATGATGGACTATAGCTTTAAGAACCTTTCATACATCCAACATCCCAGTGTTGGACCCGGCATCATATGAAATTTGGACTCCTATTTATGAAATACTGCATTGGCCCATACAGAATGTACATGTATGTATACAGCTGTGTGAAAGTGAATGATGCACCTTCAACAGGCCTTCCAAAATCTCTGTGCTGGACCCTCCAGATTTTGGGAACCCCTTTCACATTTATAGCAAGAATCAGAGTCAGCCCTGGTTGGAAGCAGGGTTAAGAGGCTCAAACCCCAAAAGTACAGCTAACCTGTGTCGAAACCCCTGTTTAATTAATAGGACCCCGTTCTGCTCAAGGTCTTCAAGAGGCCTTTTCACACCAAGACAAAAACCTCGGGGTTGACGCAGGGTTGAAAACATGTAGTGTTTCGCACTTGAAAATGTTCAACCCTGCGCCAACCCTGCATCAACATTTGCTCCAGACTAGGGTTGATATTTTCAACCCAGGTTGAAACTCCCGCCAGGGTTCAAAACAGAAGTAGCTGGGAGAAATAAGCTCGGTTTGCACGAAACAAGTGTGGAACGATGCGGGGTTGGGGGGAAAAAACAACTCAACCCGGGGCAGCACTGTGTTTCCCCAGGGTTGAGTTCAACCCGGGTTGAGAGGCTCTAGTGTGAAAAGTTTGAACAAGGCTACATGTACCGGTAGTTCAGAGGTCATTGGAAATCACCTACATTTCTTGATTTCTTCTAACTGACAGCAAGCCAGATGGAACAATTTCATGGGGTGTTTAGTACCAGTACGATCTTTAATCCAAGTGAGCTTTTTGGATGATAATTCGGTAGTTACATTTGGGTTAAAGGAAATGTACATCATTGGCTTTTGCTGTAATTTTCAGAAATGAACAATTTGAGGGGTTAGTATAATAGATCAAATATTGTTTAACTGACATGTTTGAAGTTTTGTGTTCGAAAATGCTTGAAAAACCAAGAAAAACAAAAATGTTTAAGTAGTCTGGTTCCCTGATTCCACTATAGATAAAATGGATCACTTTATAGTTGTCGGAAAATTGTAAGGTAAGGGTACCAGTCTAGCTAGCCTGCACCCGTTCATGAACATGTAACCAATAGCAAACAAAATTTGGACAAAAAAAATTTGTAAATTTGGAGCAGTAGTTGAAAAAAAGTTAGGTTTTTCCAACGGTGGTCGGCCGACCACCGTTGGAAATGTATACAAAAATACAATTTTCTTGAAAATGACTTGACACCAGGTGCCATAATTTTACAGGATGCTTTAGACTGTCATTTACCAACATCCTTGTAAGGTATTTTGTAAAAACTTGGTAGTTTTATTTTTCGATGTTTGCAAATGTTGTATATTCCCTTTAACTGCAAATGATCCTGCATGTAGATGAAGTCATGGATAGGTAACACTCATTTATGAGAAGCAGTGCAGAGCAGTGCAGTGTCAAGGCAGGAGAAAATATGACTCCGCATCATCCAAGTGACTGACAGTTTATTTGTTTTGAGGCAGCTGTCTTGTAACTGCCCGACATTCTCTGCGGTGGTGTGAACATGGTTTTGTTTGGAGGAAAGTGATGCGTCATAATCCTCATCCCGCACACTGGATTTGAAAAGCGAGAAACTTTCACACTGCTTTGACTCAGAAGTTCTGTATGGCTGGAATGGTACTGTGAGAAACAAAGTCTTCTAAAGCCGATGGAATGTGTAAAACAAATGTACTGTACTTTGAATCCAGACCTGAATCAAGGGCGGATTGAGAACCAATTGGTTTTTTTGGGGGGGGGGGGGAGGAGCAACTGGTCAGCCAAATTGTGATTATTGAACAATTTTTTTTTAAATATAAAAATTGACACCTTTTCCATAGGGGGGGGGGAGGCCTCCATTGGCACCCCCCTGGATCCATCTTTGAACTGAACCCGTTTGTTTACAAGTATCTGCCTACATTCTCTCTCCAATGTTTTCTCCTTTCTTCAATCCAATAGATTTTTCAGGGGTGGATGCAGGAATTTTTACAGGGGAGGGGAGGGGTTCAGGCCCTTCACATTTTTTTTATAATCAGCAAATCAGTGCTGAACTGTAGACAGTTTTTTTTCTCTGGACACTAGGCCTTCGTTAAATAAAAAGGGGGGGGGGTACCATCTTCCAAACGGGGCCCTGTTAAAATCTGACGATCATGCCCACTATCGCACAATAGCATGCAAATACCCCCCCCCCCAACCCCCACTGGCTACGCCTCTGTGTCTGAGTGTTGCATATTTAGGTAATTATTATTACTATAATTGTCGGATTTTTTTTTTTTTCGGAGCGAGGGGGGGGGGGGGGGTGTTTGACCTCCACACACCCCCTCTGGATCCGTGCCTGGTTATGGCAAGACAAAAAAATGTATATAATTTGATAACATGTAAGTGGTCTAGTACACATCATAACAGATGGAAAGAAATTAGGGATATTTCCGGAAATAATAAATATATGAAGTCTAGTCACTGTATATTTTCAATCCTATAAACGAAAAAACTGTTTCCGAATATTACATGTACGGATGCACTGATCGAATTGACATCCTGCGATAACATCCGGGGGAAATTATCAAAATTCCTGTGCCAACATTCTTAAGTCCTTTTTTTTGGAGGGGGGGGGGGGAACACAGGGGCTAGAAGTCTAGAAGATGTTTCTAACTTCTGCTTCTGTGAAACCAATCAGCTCAAGCACAATACACACTAGGATGGCAAGCTCTAAACCAGGACAAAGTTTTCATACAAGAAGCCTTTCGTGTTTTCCCATCTCGGGGAACGGTTTAAACAGGAAACTCTTTTAATCCAGCACAGAAGCCTTGTTCCTCCTGGGAACTCGGTGGGTCCTAAGACAGAGACCCCCCTCTCATTCCAACCGGAGATGTCGGAGATGAGACCTTTTTTTCCTCCCTTCACAACAAAACATGCCAAAAAAACACCTGTGAAAATCATTTTATTTGGGGGGCAAAAATATTTTGTTTGTGGTACCTGTGGAACTGGTTAACTATAAAAGGGATGTTGTGAACCTGCTCATGCGAACTCAATCAGTTTTTTCCTCCTCCCACGCCCCCCCCCCCTTTCCATCAATGAATACAGCCTTGTAGTGTTTTTTCCAAGTGGGAAAAACATCCCGATTGGATTCACGATTTGGCCTCACCGTATTTCGGTGTTGTTTTTTTTTGTCCATATGGGGAGATACATGTCGAGGGTTGGATAATAAGCTGGGGGCCATCGGTGTCACACGCAGGGGGACACCACTCATAGGATCGGGGTTTGTTGGGTGGACAGATAAATCCATTTCACAGGATTGAACTGTGTGACACCTTTGCTATATTGGGAAGCATCTGTGTTCAATACGGGGGTTGTGTTGCGGAGGTTCTGGGATTCAGATTAAAAGGCATGGGGAGATTTCTCCAGTCCCAGAATACCTTAGGAATATGGCCTTTTTAGGAGTAATGCAAATGGCTGGTCCATTGTCCAGTCAAGAGTTTGTGAAATTAATACTCAAAAAAGTGTAGTGTGATCATTAGCGTGCCTAATTGTTTGTATTATGATTGACGTGATTGACACGAGGGATGTACCGGTAGTCGAGTCTATCACAAGTCCCTGCAAGTCCATCACAAGTCCTCCAGTCCCAATTCTACTCACAAGCTGTTCAAATGAGCTTTGACAAAAGCATTCCTTTGTTATTGTTCATCTACCGTTTCTTGTGACTGGACTTGTGATTTACTTGTGATTTACTTGTGACTGGACTTACATGTATAATGTACTTGTTACTTAGGGTCTTGTGAATGGACAAGTTTGTGACTGGACTTGTGACTGGACTTGTGACTGGACTTGTGACTGGACTTGTGACTGGACTTGTGACTGGACTTGTGACTGGACTTGTGACTGGACTTGTGACTGGACTTGTGACTGGACTTGTGACTGGACTTGTGACTGGACTTGTGACTGGACTTGTGACTGGACTTGTGACTGGACTTGTGACTGGACTTGTGACTGGTCTTGTGACTGGACTTGTGACTGGACTTGTGACTGGACTTGTGACTGGACTTGTGACTGGACTTGTGACTGGACTTGTGACTGGACTTGTGACTGGACTTGCGACTGGACTTGCGACTGGACTCAACTATACATCCCTGATTGACACAAATACAGCAATATTATGGACACAAATTGTATAGCAATGGTACTGCCATAAAATTACATTAGATAGATCTTTATTAAATTGTGAACTGTTTACAGTTAACAAAGCTTCATCTTCAACAAAGATTAGTTTTCTTTTTCTGCCTTCTTGGATATTAAATAATCCTACATTTTTTAAACACCCTTCGCTTTGAGATGCACCACATAAATGGACACGGCTCCATAAGCCTCATCACCAAAATACATTAATCATAATTTACGTGTAAATACATTCATTCAGTGAGAAAAAATGGCACACCCCACTACCTACACAACAGTTTGAGTTGAAAATAAAAGAGCTTTTTAGTTTTTCGTTTGTCAGTTAAAAAAAATGATTAAAAAGCATTTCTCTTACAAATACACAATTTCTGTATAATAAATACCAATCCAGCAGAGTTGACCGCAGTACGTATGTATATGGGTCATTAATTTGGGGTCGCTGTTACATCTGACATCAATGATTTTATATCTCTGACGCTCTCCTTGAAGCAGGCGTCCCCGAAGAGTGATTATGAATAGCAAACTACCTACCCAGCATATAAATTAATTGTTTGAAGTCATTCTTAATGATACTTGAATGGAAAATTACAAAGTAAAAAGTTAACAAGGGACAGGAAAAAAAAAATCTTTAGATCCGAAACTCATAGAATGGCCCATATGCTACTACTTATTTGTTGAATTACATGATAAAGTACATGATGAGTAAATATATTTAATGTATGTACACGATAAAGCAATCTTCAAAAGAGAACCAATACACCATATCCACCCACTTGAACCTGTCAATATTAAACCTTAAAAATATAAATAACAACAGTAATTGAGACTAGCATTTTTCACTTTACTCATTCAAGTGTGTTTTTCATTAAAACGATCTTTCTCAGTTGCCCAATTCCAAATCACCTTGTTTTCAGATCTTTTCGACACTAACCTTAATGCACCCAGAAATGTTACATCTGTCAACAAAACCGTTTCGCAGTGCCAGCGATAACAAACGATCAATTGTAACTTCTCTTCTCCTTCAAATTCCAAATTGAAACTCTTGAGGGGAAAAAAATTAAAATAGGGAGCGACATTGTTGAGTCTGCTCTTACCCTCAAAAAGACTCAAAATATTTATCTTATGTAGTAGGCGCACCTCTTCGTTTCAATATCACCCCCTTCCTTCTCTAAATTTAATCATCGTTATTTCTCAAGTCATTGTTTACGGCTCACCCACATTCCTCTGGTAATAATTATCTAGCAGTCTAGGGGGACCCGCAGGGCACTTCAAAAATAATAGCAGTCAAAACAAGAGACCTTGGGTCAAGTTCAGCCCAGACAGTTTAATTTGAGAGACAAAACGACCCAAAGAAAATGTTCCAGACAAATAAATACATCCCGGAGACAGATGTGTTCCCTAGTGTTTTGAATTCAAATACCGGGTCCGGACCTCACCTTAGAAGTAGTCTCCGTGTCCAGAAATAGAAGGTGTGTGTGTGTCTACCACAACTGGATGGTTTGTGCTATTCTTAGAAAGCTACCGTTGTTCTTTGCCAGTTATTAAATGGCCAATACTCAGTCATGGATATTAATTGTCGACACTAAATCAATATTTCAGACAGTCCCAGTCAGGCAAAATGAAAAACACCTGCGAAACATTTTGTTTAAAACCTATTGTTACATGTAACTGCCCTCGTCCCAGGATGCAAGAGTTGTTTTTGTATGAAAGATCACAACCTACCTTAGTTCGCAACCCCCAAATATCACATCAAAAAATTGCAGTACAGTATATAATTTAATTAAATGATTAATCGCAATACTTTTTTAAAAACAAATTACTCAAATGAAATTTCTCAGCATTGCCATAGAAAAAAGTTGCCAGCAGCATCCAGAACCTGACATTGATGCTAAAAAGAAAACACCCCCCCCCAAAAAAAACCCCTGCTCCAAAGCAAGTAGAAGATATATATTGTGAAATAAAATATTTCGCCTTCACCCACCAAGATCAGTAAGCCGCTGTGAACATTATATACATGCACCACAGGTTTAGCTGCTTAAATTATACTCCACCATATCAATCTACAATTGTCATGCCGTCTAAATATAGAGAATGCCTTCTCACGCTGTGTAACAACATCCCCACCATCCATCTACTTAAAACAAAAGAGTGCCTGATTCAATTGCGACTTTATAAAATTCCCTTTTCACTCTGTTAAAAACTACGCAACTTGCCATCACAGACTGAAATTCATTCCTTACACATTTAACTTACAAATGCAACAGACTACTCAATACTCTTTCCACTGATTTTGTTTTCAATACAGAAATACAAAAAATTCTTGAGTATTCATAATTTTAATTTGTGGTAGTCCTCATTTCAATCCACTAAAACATTAAGAGTGCAACACAAACTTGTATACTATATATGAAACTAATCACAGTGGTCCACTCGGGGTGAGTGCACAAAAAATCAGGTTGGTCACCAAACCGTTATCAAATGAGTAAATTTGTCCAAGATAACCACACTCCACACAATGGGATTGCAGTCTGTGTTATCACTTCGCACCTTCTTGTGTGCACCTGGTCTTCAATTAGTAGGACAAATATTAGCCTCGGTCCAGGACTTGAATTGAGTTTTATTACAGCGGCCCTTGACAAGCGCAGTAAATGCCAACCCGGCTGTAAGAGGTCGCTGTCGACAAGATGAATCAGCCCTGGGAATATTGGCAGTGCTAGCCTGAGGTTCCAGACCTGTAAATCGACTCCCATAGACCTCAGTGGTAATTACGCGTGCTTCCAACAATCATTTCAAATACTGACAACTCTCTAAGGTGTTTGAGGCACCCATCAAATTAAAGCTTATTTCATCATCTTTCATTTTCTGTTCAATTTTTTTGGGTGGTAATCCGATGATTTGGGGGAGAAAATTCCATGCAAAGATGTTCACCCCTAAAAGTAGTCCTGTGGCCCATCGCCATTGGAAAAAGGATGCCTGTGCTCCTTTGCAAAATGGAGCAATTTTCGGGCCCATTTTCATCCTAATTTCACAGAAATACTAACTCCCATTCCGATGCATGGCTTCCACCCATCTTTTTGTTACAAACATTCAAGTTCATGGTCCACAAAATGCTCTAATAGGAAAGAAATTGAGGGCATACAAATTGTGATTTGGCCCACATAGGCAATTCTTGGCCTATTTACAGGTCTGCACCCCCGAGCATCCCTCATATGCATTCATTGTCTCGAGTACAGCGCGCATGAGATATGCTCAGAATCTCCCAGGTAGCATTGCCAAATCTCTGAAGATTAGATTTGATTCATCTTGGTGTTAGCGACCTCTACTCCTGAAGTCTGGGACCAAGACTGGACAAATATAAGAACAAGGGATAAAAACAACAACTTGCAACCAATCTGACCAACGTAACTGAACAATTGTTTGATTATATTTTTAAATAATATAATAAGTGTCATGCAAATCCGATGCAGACTTGTCACCTACGTGCATGGGTCTTCTCCTAGGTTCCTTACATGTTCTGCCAGTACACGTACTGTATACGCTTCCCGCCCTGCATTTGACGCTTGATTTTCAGGTACATGTAGATGCCGCGGCCGAACACTAACACACCTGTGGACACAGAATACAATAGATAAGAATTTTTTTTAGTAACTGAAAATTACAAAATTGATATTTCAACATCTGATAAGTGGCTGATATTTGACTCATTGCATATGACACGCCCATTCGCCTTGTCAAATAACCCTCTTAAAAAAATGTGGATCTTCTTCCGTTTTTTGTAAATAGAACTTACAGTTACAAATCCATTTAGGATCAACAAGTTAAAGGCATGCATGTATACATGTAGGTAGATGTTCATGCATTTTGTTTGTTTCCAATAAAAAAAATTACTGGAAATCCAAAGAAGAATGTTGCAAACCTAATCCGTTGAAGTTTCAGCTCAGTGGATATTACACTTTTCGAGAAAACAGTGAAGAGCCATGCACAACCTCTTGATCGCGAAACACGATTTTGTCGTAACAAAAATCAGTCAATTGACTGATTCTTGGAAATCACCTACATTTCTTGATTTCTTCTAAAATGACAGCAAGCCAGACGGAACAATTTCACGAGGTATTTAGTACCGGTATGATAGCTTTTTGATAATACATGTAAATGGGTTTGTCACTTTTGGAGTAAATTTAAATGATTTTCATTAAAATTCAAGGCAGAATTCACTTGATACAGGCACAAGAAAAGGGGCTGAACTACGCCCCGAAAAAGGTCATCAAAATGGGTCTTTAGGGGGCGACCCATGTAGGAAATATCAATCGCAGTCAAGCTGTTCAACACGGCCAATAAATTGATGTACAAATACACGCATCCTTCCTAAAACATCACCGTGGTGCATTACGCTGCTTCGTATTCAGCAGTTTTATGATCACAGCCAACAAACCCAGCAGTTCCCACATCATCAAGACTTCACATTAAATCAGGGGAACCAAAAAAGCGCACCGCCCATCTCATCAGCCATAAATACTTGCCTGATCCCCCCATCCTAAAAACTACCCCATAAAAACATCCAACAGTAAAAACAACCTTGGGTCTAAAAAAAGATGGTGCATCTTCATTCCCCCTTACTCTCGCCAAACCAATCCCCTCTACCAGGGCCTCTCTTGGTTTTTTTTTGATGTGGCTATTATTATTATTATTCGGCCACCTGTTTTCATCAACTCCAGGATGCGAACACCTGCCCCAAAGTCAAAGGGTGTTGGGACAGGTGGGGAGGCTCAGGAGACTTCCGGAATACTTGACAAGCTTTGCCTATCCTTGCTCTAACGATTGGCATAGTTTAGGCTGTTTGGTCTGGTCTGGTCTAGTCTAGTTTCAAAAGTTTATTGTGACCATGTTTGAATCACTTCTTTTTTTTTCATGGATGTATACATTTTTTTATACAGAGTGCCGTTGTCACAGTGTTCGATCTGTGTGCCATGGTATGTGCATTTATGTACGTGGGTTCGAACCCTTAGAGGAAACATGGTGCTTATGTCCTTGGGCAAGACACTTTACTACAACTGTGGCCTCGGAAAGATTCCATACTGGGCCACCACTCAGACCTCCTGCACTAAGTCTATGGGCCATGACAGAAACAGTATTTTAAGAATTTTTGCACGAGTTCCTTAAAAAATAGTGTTTCTTCATCAGATTGACAACTTTTGGTACTTTTCAGGTCATATTAGGGCATATGAGTATTGGCCCAGTATGGAACTCTTCGTAGCCTCTCTCCACCCAGGAGTACGGATAAATGATAGTCAGTCAGGGAAATGGTTTTCTATTTCCCCAAAATGCTGAGTAAAACATTCACTGTATCAAAATTCAAAAGACAAAGAATGCCCCCTCTTAAAGATACGGTACATGCAGCTTCATGTGTATTAAAGGTCTATTGCATACATGTCCAAGAGCGTGCAACTACACGTAATATTTGTCTGTCAAGCTCCACCGTTTCTTTTCTGACCGCACAGAAAGTGCAATGACCCTTTCCCTTACAACATTCCAAGTGTTGGAGGTTCAGAAAGTAACCTGGCTTCAAAGGTCTAAATACACCAACAAAACTGCTCTGGAAAACTGCCCAAGCTATAAAAATTCAGTTCACGGTGAAAGTGATTTTTGGGGTGGGGGGGGGGGGGTGGGGAGGTTAGTCTATGTAATAGACCCTGGCCCTGGCGAAGCTGACCATGGTCTATTATTCATAAACAGATTCGGCGATTAACTATGCAACTAGACTGCCTATGACCTCGAGAAACTGACCAATCAGCAGGCGCCTTCTATGCACGCATAATTTGAGCTCCCCGCGTGCATTTAAACATCACGCCCACGATGAGTAGCATTTTTGTACAGGTTGTTGTATTACAAAAACGCGGCATAAAAATTGACCAATCACAATCTTAGTCCTGATTTCGGAATGAAATGACGTCACGCATGCTTAGATATATCAGACGTTATACAGGAGACTTGGCTACGTGGATAGCGGATGATACTCAGACTAGGGGGAGGTGCAGGGAGTCTTTTCAAGTTGTAATTCCCGCATACTTGAGTCCATGCCAGGGAAGAACAGAAACCGAAAACACAAGGAGAAGTTGACCGGTCATTGACACGCTCTTACATAAATCAAAAGTTATAGACGCCTTTAAGACTTTCATCAAATATATATCACCAACTGCGTGCTGCAAAAACAGGTTCTTTTATATGCAGGATCAACGAGTTTATTCCCATGCCTGTAATGTCAAGCTTTGCTTTTGTTGTTTTAAAAAGTCAAGCACCAAATGTAGACCAATTTTCCACTTTATGCATTGTACTTCGTGCACCACTCCCCCGCAAAAGTAGGTTAATTTCATAAACAACATATTTCTGCAGACAATAAGACGTGACAGCGGTATAAATCTCTCGAACCGGTCGCACTCCGGGTAGAAAATATTTCAAACACATGCAGCTATTTTGGTCAAGTCTTTTTTTTTTTAAAGAGACAAATAACCGGGGTACGGAAATACTTCAAACGTTATAAAGAACTTGGGATGTTTACCCCTACTTCCAATGGCCCTCAACTTTTGCATAGCTGCCGGGCCATTATATGCTATGGATAGACCCTAATGTAAACTAATACTTGAAAAAAAAAACAAGAACAAATCAAGCATGAAAGTTAAGAAAGGAAAAAAAAAATTATTGCGAGCAATTTATAATAATTCACAGCCAAGGGTTTTAGCAAACCCCGGCTGAAATAAATTAACCTGAATTACAAGATAACACGGATGCAATCTGGCCCGGTAGAGTAAACAGTCCGCTTGGTTTTCCCATCAGATGCGAGTTTTTAATTTTGTTTTGTTCTTCCTTGACTTTGCCGAGGAATGATTAATACGCCGGACAGTCCTAGAATGTTTTGACAAGAGATAAGCGGATTGGCCGGGCCCGGTGTGCCTCATCATTATATGCGATCAATTAGACATCGGCCATCAGATATTTGGGAGGCTGTGACGTACGCTGGGTTTATCGCTCGGCCTTTAAAGGGAAAATACAACATTTGCAAACATCAAAAAATTAAACTACCAAATCATTTTGAAATACCTTGCTGGACTGTTAGTGAATGACAGTGTAAAGCATCCTGTAAAATCATGGCACCTGGTATACTGTCATTTTCAAGAAAAGTGGTATTTTTGTATCAATTTCCAACGCTGATAGGCCGACCAGCGTTGGAAAAAACTGGCTTTTTTTCAAATACTGGCCCCAGTTGACCATCGTACTTGTTTGCAATCAATTACACACCTATAAACGGGTACAAGCCAGCTAGACTGGTTCCCTGACCTTACAATTCCCCAATGTATGTAAACTGCTCTGTTTCTTCTTAAATGGAGTCAGGGAACCAGACTACAGGAAAATGATTGTTTTTCTTGGTTTTTTATAGCATTTTCGAACCCAAAACCTCAAAAAAGTCAGTGTAACTATATTTGCTATATATTTCCAACCCCCCAATTCCATCCATTTCTGAAAATTGCAGCAAAAGCAAATGATGTATATTCCCTTTAAAGAGCATCTTGATCTGTTCAAGTCACTTCAAAACATGTGAATTTGGTTTCCGCTTGATGGTTGAAACGATGATGAAAGACGAACGATCCCATCAAAAGTAACTGTTTACCAAGCAAACAAAATAACCACTTGAATGCTACATATCACCTTAGAACTTCTAAAAGTCTAGAAAAAAAAATTCTCTTTCTTAGAGAAAGTTTGATCCTTGTCCATTTTACATCTTTCTGGCAAATCGTCTGATTCAGTGATATAGATCTCACTGACCCACGTGACATGGCCTACACCTTGGTATCAGACAATCGACATCGCCATTGTAGTAGGCAAAGATCGTATAGCACTGTATGCAGTGGGTAGTAGGCAAACCTTCAAAGCTGTGATGGATGGCAAAAACTGTGGGCAAAACGCAGAGCCAAGACCCAGTACTGGGTTGGCCCGATTATGACAACAGTACACAGCGCAGATTGTGACCATTATGCCATTTTGAAAAAGGAATTTGAGGTTATTTTACATGTACCTGAAAATCTGCCCTACTCTCTAGTTTACAACACATGACAAGGATGCTAAAAATGCTTGCCTACTGCAATGGTGGCCAATCACGGTAAACCGGATGGTCGCATGGTACTTTGACATCATACAATCAGAACCCATTATAGTCATCCTGTTCAGGCCCACAGTACAATACATCATTTCTGATTCAATCTACAAAACAATCAGTCACTTGACTGATTGTTGGAAATCACCTACCGGTACATTTCTTGTTTCCTTCTAAAAAAGCCAGAAGAAATAATTTCACAGAGTATTTAGCACGAGTACAATCTTTTAGTCTAAGTAAGCTTTTTGATAATATTTCGGAATGTTACTTTCGGGGTAAACGCAAATGATCCTACTACACTGTGCCTTATATTAGTCCTATAAAAATTGCCCCCGATATTATTATAGCGTTCCCTTTAACAATAGAGCACAGACCCGAACACCTGAATCACTGGCACACTCCAGCACAAAGACCAGCAGATAATACCTTGTAAGCTTATATGGGACAAATCAACATCATT